ATAAAAAACAAAAATAAAATAAAATAAAATAAAATAAAAAAAAATTCCGTAAATTCGAAAATTGTTTAAATGCCCGCCGGTCTAGTATGCGTTTAAGTAGAAAGAAAGAATATTTAAAAAATTTTTTTCTTTTCTGTTTAACTTAAAAAAAAAATTAAAATTCTTAAAATCAATTATATAATTTGGAAAAAAAGTCCTACTTGAATGGAGTAACTCACAGATACAGACAAACACACACATACAAATAATGTTAAAATTCATTTTAAGCACTTTTCTGTTATTGTTTCCCTTTTGTTTTTGTTTTTGCTTTTTTTGTTGTTTTTTCGATAAATAATTTAATTTAAAATTTATTTGTAAACAAAAAATTTTTTAAATTAAAAAGTAAAAATTTGTTAAAAATAGAAAAATAAATTAAATTGTGTTTTATTTGCAAACAATATTTAAATAATTGGTTTTCAATTTTGGTACTTGGCAAAAAAGTTGGCGTTTGTGTATCTTCAATCAATGCATTTTTATTGAAATATAGAATTCATCTATTTTATATTTTTTTCAAGCGTTTGTTTTATATAATATGTATGTAAATATAATATATGTAAAATCTGAAATTTTTCCAATCTTTGTTGTCTTTAATCTATTGTGTATTTGTTAAAATATAAACTCTAGTAGTTTCTCCTTAGATTCATTAAACATTGTCTTACCTGTTTGTCTACTAAGCACATTAATTTAGTTATATTAATTGCACTTTATATTAGATACTTTAGACTGTAAGTATATATTTTTAGATTTTAAAATATAGTTCAAGCAGTGATTCGATGTCTCAAGCCTGCCTATTTGATTTTAGTAATGAAATTTAGTAAGGACACCATTCTTTTTACTACACTATAAATTAATATATGTCAGTTTTTAGTAAATATCAGGCTTTAAAGTTCCAAATATTTTTTGTGTCAATATAGATTTGTTTTCAAGATATCAAACTTTAGAGTAAAATAAATTTACATCAAAACTAGTGCGTCAAATATTATTTGAACTGTTAGACGATTCAAAGAATATAATATTAGAATGTGTTTATTTCACCATTTGTTAATATAGATTAGTTTTCGAGATGTTATCCTTAAAAGTTGAAAATGTTCACATGAAAACTATAGCGTCAATATTGGTTAGATTGACGAATTGATAGTTAGGATTGTTATTATCCTTTAAAGTTGAAAATGTTCACATAAAAACTGTTCTGTCAATATAGGTTAGTTTTCAGAATATTATGCTTTAAGGTTGAAAAAATTCACATGAAAACTATAACGTTAGTTTTCGGGATGTTATCCTTAAAAGTTGACAATGTTCACATAAAAACTAAAGCGTCAATATTGGTTAGTTTGACTTTGATTTAGTTTGATTGATAGTTTTGATTTAGTTTGATTGAATAGTTAGGATTGTTATTATCCTTTAAAGTTGAAAATGTTCATATGAAATCTATTGTGTCAACATAGGTTAGTCTTCGAAATAATATCCCTTAAAGTTGAAAATATTCACATAAAAACTGTTATGTCAATATAGTTTAGTTTTCAAGATATTATCCTCCATAAATTACTACAACCATGTCCCATGACGTTCTGGAAAATATACAAGTGTGAAAAAACAACAAATAATTTGGGTTTATGATATGTTGGGTGTATGAGTTTGAGTTTATCTGTATATCTTAAAGATAAATTAGTGTGTAAATCAACCCTTCTTGACCATGTAATCTACAGACAGTACACTACAAAACCTTCACCAAATCAAAATTTTTTTGTAGTATATACCTAAAATATATATTGGGTGTTTTTTTAGCTGCATGAGAACTTAAAATGTTAAGACAAGACAGAAATATTATTAGAATGAAATTTTTTTTATTATAATCTGGTAGATATAGGAATAGGAATAAACGATGTACCAGCTCTCAGCGGAGCGGAGCACTATGACCATTGTTGATCTTTCATGCTGCAGCAGACCCTAATCGAGCAGTGAACTCCTCCTGGCTCAGATCAAGGCTGGGCTATCACAGAGAATGTGACTGTAAGTCTCGTCTGCTTCTAATCTGTTAGATATTTTCTAGGCAATTATTTGATCAATATGATTTCTGGCATATGTTCGCCACGGCTACGAGTTACATGGTCCACTCATTTAGTTCAATTTTTGACTATGTGTATAATACATAGTGTATACTAGTACAATATTTTTTAGTATATACTTTGGTACAATCCAGGGTTTGCCACTTATATATGGATCTAATCGAGTATCAATAACTTTTTTACCAAAAGTAACAAATACACGTATTTATGTACTCCGATTTATTGAAGTTGAAAATATCTATGTCAAAGATTTTTTGTTTTTTTTATTGGTGAAATTGCATACTTATCAAGTTCAAAACATTTCCATCAAAATTTTCCTAATAATTTCTCGAGATATTTGCCTGAACGAACAGCAACAATTGTTTCAATTCGCCTACATAAAGGCAACTTTACTAAACTTTACCTAAAAACGTCATTAACCCTTTTTTTCTATTATAATTTGAAAAACGTGTCATAAGCGAAACAATTTCCAATTAAGAGCAGAATTGAGCTCATTCAATGCTAATGATTTGCAAGGAGGAAGCCGGCTGCCACTTGGTCGAAACTAAAAGTAAACCAAAATTTTTAAATTGCCAAAAGCAAAATATCACAAAATGACTTTCAAAGTTTTGCAGAAAATAAAAATTAAACAAAAAAAAACCAAAAAAATTTTATGAATGAAAATAGAAAAAACAAAAAAAATGAAAAACAGAAATTGTTCTGTTTATTTTTGTTTCTGTTTTTGTATGCAGCTGGATTGTTTTTAGTAAATGTACTGAGCTCTGCTCAGAAGCTTGTTAGGAAATTGTTTAGCATTTAATAAAAGTTAAATAGCAGCGGCAACAGTGGCAGTAACAGCAGCGGCAACAGTGGCACTAACAGTAGCGGCAGAAGAAGAAGAAGCAGTGAAACGACAGCCACAGTAGATGAAATGCGAATTAGAAATTTTATTGAAATTGTTTTGTAGAAAGTTTACAAGTTTACAATATGCGTCAAGTAATTCACAAAAATTTCATTGTTGCGAAAAATGTTCAAAATGTTCAAAATGTGCTGTGATTAAAATCTGGACAAGTTAAATTGGTTGACATTTTATACAGAAATCATTTGTTAAAAATAATTTTTACTTGTAGTCTTTAGTTATTTTATTTATTAATTTTGTTTCGAAACAATTAAGCAAATTTTGCCAGTTCTTGTGTAAAATTTTAAATGACTTCATTAGAATATCAAAAATAAAGTTGTCTAGAAATAGTTGTCTAGAGAAATCCGACCTAACAATAACGCAAAATTATTGTTCGGTTCAAAAGGCGCGTGCTGACAGTTGTCAGCACTTCCACTCACAGGCATATTATGCCCATTGTGATACCCTCAAAAATTATTACGGAATATGCGAGTTGCTAACCTTTGTTATCCTTGTTAAACCATTTGGTTTTCCAGATCAAGTTGAGGAGATCCGATAAATTTACTTTCGCTGTCTCTTCCAAGCCAGTGAAAAAGCGATCCCCAAGACATTGAAGTCACCTTGTCTGCAGTCCTGGACAAAGACACAGGGAATAATTGATAGATTCTACCTCCTCTCCATGTTGCTAACTACTGCATAACACACTTGTTGGAACTCACCACCGTTACAATGGCAGAGTGCCCCGTTAGTATTCCAGTAAAAGGCCTTTCGTTTTGTTTTTTTCCATACTATGCCATAAGGTTCTAGCGGCCTCACTTTCTTCGAAGTTAGACCATATATTATTAGTCACCATATTGGTGATTTCCTCTGTTATCTTAAACAGTTAACATATCGGTGTTTGCATTCAGAAGTCGTCCTCTCTTGTATGCAGTTCAGAACCTCTTCTGGCCATCTCATCTACTCGTTCATTCCTTTCAATATTGCTATGTCCAGGAATCCAGCAAAAAGAAACCTTGTGATGTTTGATTCCCATCAGTGAAGGGCAACATTTTAAT